ATTTTTTTATTTATATTTAAATATATATATCTCGTTTTTATTTCAGAGATATCGTAGACCGCGTATGCGTAATTTTGACAATGGTGTACGATGGCAAGGGTGAAATTTATAAAAAATATCCAGATAAAGTACTCCCATTAATAGATCACTCCGATTCAGTGATCAGAATGTTTATTTTGAGGCAATTATTGCTTTCGTCTAACGATGAAAAAATGCTTCCTTCATTAATCGCAGATGTTAATTTAATAGTTGCAGTTATTAATAGAATAAGCGAAAAAGATGAAGTAATTTGTGCAGTAGCCAAGAATTTCATCACACAAATTGGACAGAATCCGAATGGAGTAAAAACTTTATATCATGGAGAACCTTTGAGAACGTTGGCCAAACTTGTCGTTAAAAATGACCATGTTAGTTTTCATGTTTATGACGTTATAATAAGCATAGCCACAATTTCCAAGGAAAATTTAGAGGCGACTATACAATCGGGATTTTTGAGCAGCCTCATCAATATTTTGCAAGATAATGATATATTATTGCAATTGAATGCCATAAATTCACTTACTCCATTGGCTTTGACCGAAGAAGGTTTGAATTATCTGGAACAACAAGAAGTTTTGACAGGACTTTTTCAGAAAATGACGTATACCGATGAAAAGCCCATGTCAAATATTTTCACTCGTAATGTCATGAAATTTTTTGGAAACATTGCACAATTGTCGCCAAATGAAATGTTCTTAAAATATCCAGCTGTAGTCTTAGCATTGTTTAAAATATTAGATAATGAAGATCTAGTTTTTTTAGATGTTGCATTGGATACGCTAGGATACATTGCAACAAATATGGAAGGAAAATATGCATTGCAGACATTGGGAGATTCTATGTTATTTGCAATGAAGAAAATAGCTGAAATTATTCAAGGAACGCGTACAACTTTAAAAATCTCCGCTTTGAATAATCTTAATTTTTTAATAAATGTACCAAAGACTGAACAAGATAATAGAATTTTATCTTTAACAAAATCATGGTTTAACGCTCTTTGCGATGATCCATTAGGATTGATAGTCAAAATGTCTAAACAACCGTTCATTGACATCAGATTTGCTAGTTTAGAAGTTCTAGTAACTGTGGCATCTCAAGCATGGGGTCAAGAGTATATATTTGATTCTCCAGGTTTGATAGAGTTTCTCTTAGACAGAAACATTGAAACCTTCAAATTGTGTAAGGAACTGAAATACAAAATTGTTCAATGTTTGTCTGAAGCGGAATCGTATGTATTCGAGGCTGGTACCATGAAAAAATTAAAACAGTTCGTTAACGAAGGCCCATTCTACGTTGAAACCTATACAGAAGTTGGATTTGAAAGTGCCATGTAAAATAATAATGTTATTAATAAGTGTAGATTATATCGTTAAATATATCATTTCTTCTAATATTTCATACAAAACATATAAAGTTGTTATTTGCATAATAATCAAAAGGTACATTTTGTTTTGTTGAATATGGTATATTATTTCATAATATACAATTTATATATATATTTCTGTAATATA